CCCGTTACTACCTAATCCTTTTGGAGTTATGATGTGGAGGTGCTGTTGTTGGACTGGGGTGGACAAAGTCAGAAGTCACGCAACACCAGGTTATAGTCCAATAGGTTTATTTGAAATCACAAGCTTTCAAAGTGTAGCTTCTTCATCAGACGACTGCACCTGACAAAGGATCTATGCTCCAAAAGCTCGTGATTTCAAATAGATTTGTTGAACTATAACCCAGTGTTGTGTGACTTCTGACATTTTTTGGAATTATAGTGCAGAATCTTATGGAGGGGAGGGGTTTTGGCCATCAGCTGTAAAGCAAGCAAGTTCCCTGGGCAATCTCTTTACTTTCAGCTGATAATCAGTCACTGAACAGGCCAATGGCTGTGTGTGTGTGCGTGTGTGTGTGTGTGTAATGGGCGGGGTGGGGCGGGGCAGGGGGGGGGCATGGTGACTAACCAAGAGCCTTCAGAGACTGTCAGCCATTTTGCATCCAGCAATGCCACTGGAGAATATCCCCCTCCTCTCACAGGCCCACACCCACCTCCTCTCCTGCTATCTGATCCCTTATTCAGGTGCTGAGTGAGTGAGGAAAAACCTCTCTCAAAACCTGCAAGCAACTTCAACAGCGTTTGCCTGTTGTGTTCTCTGCAGGATGAACACCCTCACCACTGATTTAATGGAAGTGCCAGTGGTACAGGGGCCCTTAGTGAGGATTAAATGGCCATTTACCGTCATGACTGGGGCAGAAACTACCCATGGGCTTTCCCAGCACTGACGTAATCAAGGAAGGTGTAGGGTTCTCAACCCACAGGGCAGGGCACAAGCTTTTGTCCAGAGTCATTATGACAGGGAAGGCAGCTGTTTTTGAAGTGTTGCAGTAAAAACACATTTTTCTACTCTTTGTGTTTTATTAAAGCAATGAACCTTGTCCAATGGAAGAGGGGAATGAGATATGTTATCCATATAACATATACAACAGTCAGCATGGACTTGTTGGACCGAATAGCTTGTTTCCACCTTGTAGGGATTCTATTGAAGACCTATAAAAATGAAAAATAGCTATATCTAGGCTTTAGTTTATTTTTGTGTCATTTGACTGTTTGCTGAGTGGTCATATCAATGCTTAGATAGATCCTTCTTGAAATGCAATTACTTTTCTCAGACTCTTTTTCTCTGCAGATCACTAACAGTGACTTCAGGCACAGTCTCCAATAAGTTTGTGGCTATCCCCTTTGTTGATTGTGTGTGGAAGAAATGAATTATTTTCTCTGCATCACAAACAGTTGAGAAATATATACCCGAACTGATGTTTGCCCACATAACCAATTAATTACAAGGACAATCACTGTTATGAAAGGAAGTGCAAATATACAGACAACATCATGAGGCACCACGTGCTTAGACCTACAAATGACAAGTAACATTCACACCACACACTAACAAATTATATTGACAAATTACACAGGGCAATCCTAATTAACTGCTCATAATCCATATAGAATGCAAGGAAGAAGCAATGCAAATAGCCTGAGGACTGCCAATAACTGAAAACATGAGGCGCTTTTTACCACTTCCTTTGCCATCAAACCACAGATTAAAGAATTGTTGTGGGCCAGGGCTTCTGCATTGGAGTCAGAGAAAATTCCCATCACTTCTCAAAATTTTATGGCTTAATGCAATAGAAGCTGGAGACCCAATTTTGCTACAAAAACAGAAGTTGCTGGAAAAACTCAGCAGGTTTGGCAACACCTGTGAAGAGAAATCAGAGTTAACGTTCAGGTCTGGTGACCCTTCCTCGGAACCGGACCCAATTTTGCTCTTGGCCTCGATTATATACTGAAGGCGTGTTGTCCATTTCAGAATGGCTCCTGGAACAAGATGAATTTTTAGATCATTGGGCATTTGAGTTAGTGCAATTTCAACAGAAAGTGAATAGCAGAAATAAAGCCTGTGGTACATCCAGCTTCTTCGGCAGAGGAGAAAATTGAAATGAGAAGGTCTAATCCATTGAGAGTTACAAATGTTTGATGCGATATTTATACTTTTAAGATGTGCACCATGACACCATTAATGCCAAGGCAAACGCAACTTAGAATACTCCAGTCTTTTGAATAAGGGCTAAAAGAATTGATCTCAAGTCTCTTGAACATTCTCATGAACAGGAATTTAACCAAATATGGCAATCTGTCCACAAAAACAAAGCACTCTAGGGGAATTTATTTCAAGATTTGTAAATATCAGTTCAGAATTCAGATGAAATTGACTCTCAGAAGTTTGTATATACAGTATCCAACATCAGTAGAAGTACCCAGAAGCAAAGATCTCCAGCATCAAGTAAACGCATTTAAAGGTTCTTGTAAAGTATGTGTTGAACTGTGTTTGCTAATGATCTTATCACCCAGTTCTATAAATGGAATTTTACAGTTAACTGGTTACGTATTTTGCAGGAATTTAGATAGGTGCATCCTGTCTGGCAGCATCTCACTGATCTCTTGAAGGTGGAATGTTGCTGTGCAGATTAGTGAGAGAATCCTGGTTATTTGTTTTTGTCCCTGGATATTATGGATCAGTGAGGTATCTCCAAAATTCCTGCTCACAGAATTTCAGAAACTGTTTATTATCCTTGACAAATTAATAAGTCAAATTTCTTTCATGCTTTGTCACAACGATTTAATGTTTAAGTGTTGGATTGTAGAAAATCATTGAAAGATTGTATCCATATGAAGTGGTGTTTACACTGTTGATAAGGGGGTGGAGGAGTGCAAGAAATCCAACTTTAGTGGATGAACAGGTTGCAGAGCAAGCAATTGATCCATCCTACTGACTCATTTTGTGTGCCTACCAAAGATGAATTTCACTCCCAACAAAATTTAGAAGGAATTGAGCAGATTGAATATATCTGGGCCAACATTCCAGTGAAGTACTGATTGGGTGCACTAGTAAAAGTGCTGCCTTTCAGATGAATTCAAACCTTGGCCCCATTTGCCTATTTATATGGACAAAAGGAGGTGTTCTCTTCTTGTCCTGCATATCACTTCATTGCCAACCAGCAACAGCAAAAAGACTGAGATAACAAGGTGTAGAGCTGGATGAACACAGCAGGCCAAGCAGCATCAGAGGTGCAGGAAGGCTGACGTTT